ACACCAAGCTGGCAGGAATAGCCAACACTCCAGAAGACAGGCTTAGGATACAGGAGGATCTGGACAGACTTGAACACTGGGCGCTATCTAACAAAATGAAATTCAATGGTGAAAAAAGTAAGATTCTACATTTAGGCAAGAAAAACCAAATGTACAGGTATAGTATAGGGGGTACCTTGCTCAATAGTAGTAACTGTGAAAGGGATCTCGGAGTCCTAGTGGACAATCATTTAAATATGAGCTAGCAGTGTGCTGCAGCTGCCAAAAAAGCCAATACAGTGCTAGGCTGCATTAACAGAGGATAGAATCAAGATCACGTGAAGTATTAATACTACTTTACAATGCCTTGGTAAGGCCACACTTGGAATACTGCATCCAGTTTTGGTCACCACGATGTAAAAAAGATGTTAAGACTCCCTAGTACAGAGAAGAGCAAAAGGATGATTAGGGGACTGGAGGCTAAAACATATAAGGAATGGTTGCTGGAATTGGGTATGTCTAGTTTAACGAAGAGAAGGACGAGGGGGGACATGATAGCAGTGTTCCAATATCTCAGGGGCTGCCACAAAGAAGAGGGAGTCAAGCTATTCTCCAAAGCACCTGAAGGCAGGACAAGAAGCAACGGATGGAAACTTACCAAAGAGAGAAGCAACCTAGAACTAAGGAGAAACTTCCTGACAGTTAGAACAATTAACCAGTGGAACAACTTGCCTCCAGAAGCAGTGAATGCGCCAACACTGGAAGTTTTTAAGAAGAAACTGGACAGCCATTTGTCCGAAATGGTATAGGGTTTCATGCTTGAGCAGGGGGTTGGACTAGATGACCTCCAAGCTCCCTTCCAACTTTATCATTATTACTATTATTATTTAAATTAGTTTAATGGGATTGCATTGTAGCAAAGTATCTACTTTGTCTCATGAAACTTTCTGAAAACATTTGATGCATTATATACTAGTTTATAGTCTGCCTTTCAAACAGGAGCTGAAAGCACCATATTGTACATATCACACTTAGCAATAATTCTGGGATGTACATGGGGATGAAAGACAATGGTTGGCCCAAAATCTCCCAGTGAGTTTCCATGACTGAGAGTGACCTTGAATTTGGATCAGTCCAACATTTTAATATTACAACTAAATATTGTGTGTGAAATACTCTATATAGAGAAAGGAAGTTCTGTACTTAAACTCAGCTACGTGTGAGTTTACTCTTCATTCTTTAATGGACTTAACAAAAGACTGGATATTTGTCTGATTTTGATTGACTATTGTGGACTTGAACATTCCAATATGGTTTAAAAATGAAACAGTTATTGATCTTAAAATAAACTTGTTTTAGCTCTTAATGTGAATTTAAACTTTTTATACTGCTATCTTAGTTAGCCGTACATTTTTAGTTTCAACATTTTATAAAGAGTTTATAAAGAGTTATTAAACAGAACTCTTGAAACTAATCTTTAAAGGAATCAGATCTTCATAGCTTTTACACAAAAGATCTGGTGTGGCTTTGATAACATCATGTAATACTTATTAGTGGGTTCAGCCATGATGTCTTTATCACTAAATCCTTACAAAGTTGCAGACATACATCAAGACAATCACTTAAAAAGCACTGATAATATAATTTTCATTTAGTATTTTTGATATTGCTTTATGCATCATACTTTTTGCTATTGGAAAAATCTGGTTTTCTTACCTTCATAGTCGTCTCTATTAGCTAAACATTGTTTATTATACCAGATTTTTGCTTCATAATAATCATCCTGTGGAAATCAAAATGTGAAACAATTATGTAACATATAAACTGGAACATGATCTATATAGGTAATATACATGAATGGATCCACTAGATCCTTCTGCCACAAATGAAGGTGAAGAAGACAGATGTTAGGATTATCAAATGCCAGCAAGGATAGATGAGGATCCAGGATCTCTAGTTGTTGTTCTGGTGATAATGGCAGTTAATAGCAGTGACCTTCACTATAACATTATTATGGAAGAGTAAGTCTAGTAACTCAAGAATAAGAATAGAATTAACCAGACATGGTCAATAAAAAGAAGCACATAGGCCACATAATAATTACAAATCCATATTTCACAGGTCCTTCTTCATGCAAATCAGAATTTTGACTCTTGCTAGGGACTGAAAGAAAAAAAGTTTAGTTTTAGATGATGACAATTGGGAGCACTACTTGTACATATGCCATAAACCAAAACATAAGACAGGGCTATCAGATCCAGGTTTTAAAAATCCACCTAACACCCAAAAATCTCTAAATTCTTTGCTTCTGTTCCAGGGTTACTATTATATTTTTGTTTTTTTGTCCAATCCTTGACAGCTCCATGGATGGTAGCTTAGCTAAACACTTGCAATCAACATAATCTTGACACCAAATACAAACTGCTACTCCATATCCCTCCCAAATACTTTTTCTTATCAGGCATGCAACCATCATAATCCATCAGTAGAAGAGTAACTGTAGGAGATACAATGGCCTTGTGACCAGTATGTCTTGAGGTGGTTTTGAACTCTCAGCAATAATATTTACTGCAGCATAACCCTGCTGAAGAGTAGGATAAAGTAGGCAAGACTGGAAATATGTCAAGAAAAGAGGAGACATTAACTAACATCTTAAATTTTCTTAGAACATTGCCTGTCCATTTCTTATCCCAGTCACTGAGTCAGGGTGGAGTACAGGATTGTGATCAATTCTGTAGTAAGAGTATGACATTTGCCCAGCAACAATATGGCTTCACAAAAGTTATTTAATAGAATCATAGAATCATAGGGTTGGAAGAAACCTTGGAAGTCTTCTAGACCAATTCTTTCCCCAAATCAGGAGTCTTCATACCATTTCAGACAAATGGTTGTCCAATCTTTAATGAAAACCTCCAACAACAGAGCACCCACAACTCTGGGAGACAAGCTATGCTACTGATTAATCATTCTCACTAATCAGAAAATTTCTCCTTGGAAGATTGGCATCATATCTCCCCTCAATCTTATATTTGTTAAGTTAAACATATATAATTCCTTTAGCTATTCTTCATAGGACTTAGCCTCCAGACTCCTAATCATCTTTGTTGTTCTCTGCACTCTTCCTAGGAATTTACTATCTTTTCTGTACTGCGGCAACCAGAACTGGACTCAATATTGGCTCACCAGTGCCATATAGAACAGTACTATGATGTCCTTTGTCTTGGTACTATTGCTTTGTTGATGCAGCCCAGGATTGCATTGACTTTTTTGTCAACTGCAGCACACTACTGGCTCATACTTAAGTGGAGTTCATGAGGACACCTAGATTCCTCTCATAAACACTAGTGTTAGCTAAGTACTGCCTATCATGCATCTTTGCATCTGATTTTTCCTGCTTAAATGAATGACTTTATATTTCTCATCACTGAGCTGCATCTTGCTGGATAGGGCCCAATGCTCAAATCTGTCAAGAACCTTCTGAATCTTGAGCATCTTCCAAAGAGTTAAAAATTCCTTTCAGCTTTGTGTTATCTGAAAATTTGATGAATGCCCCTTCAATTGTTTCATTTAGGTCATTTATGAAGATGTTAAAGAGCACTGGGCCCAAGATAGAACCTTGAGGAACCCCTCTGCATACTTCCCTCCAAGTATATGTAGTTCTATTAAGAACTACAAGAAGTAGGCTGTGATCAAATAATGTACTGAAAACTGTATACTACATTTCATAAATTGGTTATATATTATTAATGTATCATTTTGAAGACCCTTCCTTCCCTCCCTCCCTCCCTCCCTCCCTCACTCCTTCCTTCTTTCTTGTCTTGTCTTGTCTTTTCTTTCTTTCTTTCTTTCTTTCTTTCTTTCTTTCTTTCTTTCTTTCTTTCTTTCTTTCTTTCTTCTTTTTTCTTTTGAAATAAAGATGTTAAAAACGAGTACTCAGAGAAGTCAAATGCTTCCAAGTGTTTGTTATTATGTTGTGAAAGAAATAGATTATGTAGTGAAATAGCATGCCAAATAATTGAATGCTATGCCTAACTACAGCAAAAATATTAGCAATTTCTCACCATTTCAAAGCCACATAAAGCTGGTTTGTTGAACTGGAAGAAAGAAAATGTAAAATGAAAAAGCAGAAAAATATGAATGAATTAAAACTTCTAAATCTTGCAAAGCAAGAAAGCAGAAATATATAGAATATTATATATTCACCTAATACTTAGGCTACTTTGATACAGTACTGTGTCCTAATATTATACATTTCTCTTGCATTTATACTAGCATTTAAATGTCAAATATTTCAGGCATGGGAACTTGGTTTAACTGAGGAGTTTGGCCACTAGAATTGCAAAGGAGGGGTATCTATATCATCATTCTTAGGTTTCTAGTCTCAAATGTTTATACAGAACCCATTGTTTTGGGTTCTTTGTGGGCTGTTTTTTCACAACCACAACTGCTTATCTAACTGGTTTAACCTTGTCCAAGTTAATTTTTTTTGTAAATCTTTCCTATTTGCTTAGAATGAGTGCCACAAATAGCAGGAATTCTTACACTTATAGAAACTATTTCTAGACCACAAAATCTTTTACTAAAAGACTTCAAGTGGAAGCTGTACTGGAATTATGACATTGTTACCAGAAAGTCGGTATCTAATTTAAAAAAAATCAGCTCCATTTACATTGCCGTTTGTTCTAAGCTGCCATGAGGGAAAAGGCTTGATTGCCTTGAATTCATAGCAGAACAGTAGAACAATAACAAGGACACCAAAGAACAGGATAAAAAGTTTAACATCATACTCTCTATTATAGCTGCCTTGCCATGGGAACAAGTTAATAGCTTTACAGCAGATCAATGACTTAAATAGAAATATAGGCTATGTATCTTTAAAATAAATGCATGAAAATAAAGTGTTTATTTGACTACATCAAGCCCAAATCTTGAGCTATAATCTTGATTTTGGATGATTCAATATACTGCCATCATCAGATTTGCCAGTAGTTTTCATTGTTATAGAAGAGGCAGAGAGAGTAGTTATGAAACAATTTGTGAATATCTTTCTATAGAAACAAACAGCGTATTAGTCTGTTTCTGTTCCTTAATACACAGAGAGTTTTCTAACTTTTTCCTCTAACTCTGTGTTCTACTTCTTTAGTTTGATCTAGCTTACTGTCACCCCTCGCTTTCCCTCAATGGATTTCTGAAAGCCTAAAATGTCACAGTTCAAATGTCCTCTGAACATTTTTTCAGTATGTTCTTTGTTAACTTTGCTACATCATATCATAGGGGAAGGATATATTCAAAACATACTTTCAATTTATGTTCAGAAGGATACCGCAGATCTTCACTGACAAATAGACCCAATGTAGTAAGCATTATTAAACGAGTATTTATTAGAAGGATATCCACAAGTGCAAGTCCAGAGCAATCTGTGGAAAAGAAAAGGATTCATGGTTATTTTGTTTTTATATCTTTCAACATGCATCATGGCTGGGGACATGAAGGTATGTTTACATCTGTATGCAGAAAATATTGTGTTGCTATCTGGAACTTGAATGATTTACAATGGATTTTAGATGGAGTGTATGATGCAATAAGGAGTATGGACATTTATGTTAATATATTAAAGACCAAGGAAGTTGGAGCTGACAGATAAATGAACAACAGCAAGGTATACACCAATAACAAAACATTTAAAGCAAATAGATTTGTGTCCCTGCAGAATATTTACTGAAGATGAAAAACTAGATGGAGAAAACCATGAAACGGAAATATATATAATACTTGTCTTCTGATGTCCTATCAGAGTGAGTCTCTTAGCAGAAAGGACCAATAACATGCTCCTCTTGCCAGACCTGATGGGATGAATAGATGTAATTAGGGAGAGATGGTCCCTCAGATAACTCAGCTCAATGTCATGTAGGGTTTTAAAGGTCAAAGCCAATAGCTTGAATTGGAGCCACAAGCAAACTGGCAACCAATGAAGTTTGTGGAAACAGAGGTATAACAGGTATCATTCTAGGGGCACACATAATTTCCCACACCAATTTATTCTGCACCTGCCTCCTAAATCAAGAACACACATATAGTCTTTGATCAGTTGTATTGTTGTTACTTATTGTATTATTAGAGTTAAAGTATGTATATACTGATAGTATTATCTTTGTTTAGTTAAATTGTAATTTAGTTATGGAATGGGGTGATGTTAGTCCTGTATTGGGTTCCGGGAAGCCCAGGGGGGGTGGGGATTAGGGGAATCATAAAAATTGATGTTTTTACATTTTATAGATAAATACTTATTGTATTGATAAGAGGAGATGCTCAGCTGGTATCCCAAATTGCACTCGAGGAGGTGGTAAGAAAGGGAGGGGATGTAGATAGGTGGTAAGGAGGAAGGTGGAGAGGTCGGGGGTTAGAGGGAGGAAGGAAAGGAAAGTGGATGAGGGTGGAGGCATGGCGGGGACTGCCGAGCGTCTCTGAAATGTATTGATTTGGATTATTTTTTCTTTTTTGTTTATGTAGGTAAATGCATCATAATCTTTGTTGTTTAATTATAAAAATCAATAAAAAATTATTTTTTTTTAAAAAAAAAGAACACACACACCGGGCACACAACACAAAGTTGCACAGAGGCCTCCCAGCCACAGCTCCTGCCTGCTATTCAAGCAGAGATCATGACTCCGCAGACTGCACACTGGATCTGTTTGGGGCAGTGCCATCCATCCACTGGCAAAGAGGTAAAATGGCCCTAGAACTCAAAACCATGGTTTTGTTGAAGACTGTTTTTCTCCATCCAACCCCCCCCCCCCACATCCGCTTGGCACCAGGACAGGACATCAACAGCATACTTAATTTTCTAATGGCAGAGTTGTGATTGAATATCATCAGCATACTGGTGAACATTTGTTGCCATGGGATGAAGTATCATCAGCTTCAACATGTAAATGTTGAAGAGGTGTGGAGAGAATACTGAACTCTGCAAAATCCCACACAGTAATGGCCAAGTATTGGAACATTCACTCCTGATCAACAATGATGGTATACCCCTAGGGAGGAAAAGAACCAGTACAATATAGTTATGCCCACTTCCATCCAATCCAGAAGGATACCATGGTCGATGGTATTGAAGAATGGATGCACTATCCCAATCCTGTTTTTGAGATCATTCAAAAGCATGACCAATGCTCTTTCTGTCCCATCCTCAGGCCTGAAACCTGTCTGAAAAGGTTTCAGATGATCTACTGCATACATAGTCCACTGAAGTTTGTTGCAATCACCTTTTCCACAATCTTCCCTAAAGAAAGATCAAAAATTGTCCAGTATGGTGGGATCTAGTAATATCTTCTTGAGAAGGGGGTGAATCAATACTTCTTAGAGGCAGAGGAACAACTCACTCTTCACCACTGCTAGAACTCAATCACACTTCCCTCCTCAGCAGCTTAACTAGCCAGGAGGAGCATGGAACTAATTGGCAGGTGGCCGAGTTCGCAGTCACAAGGGCTCTTTTGTCAGATAATAGGGAAATTCCCAGATAACAGAGCATTCTGCTAGTGTAGTGCCCACCTGCTATCCATCAGTCTCCCTTCCTGGGCTGAAAGATTTGGTTTTGGACCTGGGTTGAGAATGCCCAGACTGATTGTCCTGGGGGATCTGAATAAGTATATTTGTTCTGGAGGAGAGTAGGTCTCCATAGCTACCATGGGACTCCCACAACATGTCATTAGTCCAATGCATATTGCAGATCTTATTTGTGATGGGGCGTGGTGGGTCAGCAGTTAAAGATGCTAAGCTTGTCATCTGATAAGCTGACAGCCTGGGTTTGAGACCCAAAAGCTGCATGACAAGATGAGATCATGTTATCTGCCCCAGCTCCTGTCCATCTAGCAGTTTGAAAGCATGCAAATGCAAGTAGATAAATAGGTACCACTTCGGTGGGAAGGTAACAGCATTCCATGTGCCTTGGCCTATAGTCATGTTGGCCACTTGACCATGGAAATGTCTTTGGACAATGTTGGTTCCCCTGGCTAAGAAACAAAGATGAGCACCACCCCCTAGAGTCAGACATGACCGGAAAGGGGAAACCTTTACCTTTACCTTTTTATTTGTGACGTAATTTTCTTAGCTGGATGGCATAAAGGTGAACTCAATGTGGGAGACTTGCTAGAATGCCCTTCCCAGAGTGGCTTGACTGATGCCCATATTAGCATTATTATGTCATTGTCGGAAGACCTTTTTATTTTTCCTTTATTTTCTTTTAAATTGTTTTTAATTCATATTGTTTTAGATTTTGAAGACTATCTTGTTCCTGGCTAATTTGCATGATATCTTTATTTTATTTTACTGGATATGTTTTAACTTGAATTGTATTATTTTTTGTTTGGTGTTTTTATTGCAATCTATCCAGAGAGCTTCACTTATTAGGTAGTTTATTTAGAAATAAATGCTTAAAATGGGAGCGGAAGCCTATTTCCATTGTGCATGTGTCCAGTCTAGGTTTGTTTTGTCCTAATTTTGTATATGTTTTTTTAAAAAATTAAAGTATTTATAATTAAATATTATTCTAAGACATTGATATTTGTACAGCATTAACAATTTATGAACTGGTTTGAAATTTTGGAAGAAATGCAGAATGTATTTGAACCCATATATTTAATCTAGAAATTGCAAATTGGGTGCATTTCTGTAAAAAGAAGACAAAATGAAAATAGCATTGATAAGAGGATGGTATAAAATAGAGGGAAGGATCTGGGTATGTACAGGGATACCGATTCACTCCAACTTGGACCTGGCAATTAAATAACCGTGACTGAAACATCAGCAGGACAATTCATGGGAAAAGCCAGTTGGTTATGAGGCATTAATTGAAACCCCTGAACTCCAACTGCTTATTTGACTTCAGAATGAAAGGGCACTAGCCATTATCTTTTAGGATTAAAAGAGTAGTGATTATCCTGAGTCAGTGATTAGGAGAGTTTGAAGAGATGACATGAGTCACATGACACATCCTGATCTTCTCTTGAAAGCATAAAATTACCATACAGAATTCTAATAGGCCTTAAAGAATGGAGTGTACAACGTTTTCAGGCCCTTTCTCCAAAAAGCATCAGATAGGACCAGGAAAGTAAAGCTAAATTTAATAAAGGGACCTTGAAGGTGTTCTAGTTCAACCCCTTGCTCAAGCAGGAAACCCTGTACCTTTTCAGACAAATGGTTGTCCAATCTTTTCTTAGAAACCTCCAGTGTTGGAGTACCCACAACTGGCAAGTCGTTCCACTGATTAATTGTTCTAACTGTTAGGAAATTTCTCCTTAGTTGGTTGGTAGATTGGTTCTCTCCTTAATTAGTTTCCATCCATTGCTTCTTATACTGCCTTCAAGACAAGAAGCAATGGTTGAATAGGTTGACTCCCTCTTCTTTGTGGTAGCCCTTTAGATATTAGAATACTGCTATCATGTTGCCCCTAGCCCTTCTTTTAATTGAACTAGGCATACCCAATTCCTGCAACCATTCTTCATATGTTTTAGCCTTCACTCCCCTAATCATCTTTGTTGCTCTTTTCTGCACTCTTTCTGGAGTCTCAACATCTTTTTTATATCGTGGCGACCAAAACTGGATGCAATATTGCAAGTGTGGTTTTACCAAGGCATTATAAAGTGATATTAACACTTCATCTGATCTTGATTCTATCTCTCTATTAATGCAGCTGAGGACTGTGTTGGCTTTTTTGGCAGCTGCAGCACACTGCTGGCTCATATCTATGTGATTGTTCACTAGGACTCCTAGAAGCAGGCACCACCTATTCTGTGCCTGTTCATTTTGTTTTTCTGGTCTAAATGTAGAACCTTACTTTTCTCTACATTAAATTTCATTTTCTTAGGTAGGGAACAATGTTCAAGTCTGTCAAGATCCTTCTGTATCTTGAGCCTATCTTTTATTTTCATTAAGCTACAATTAAATTAGTATGTTTTCTTTCCAATCATATTATTTAATATTTTCTCCTTTAGACTTATCAAAAATGATAATTGGTACAAACTGGGGAGAGGGTTCTGAAGCCTACAGTTAAATTTTTTAGGGCTACATGAGTCTTATGCCTCTGTCATAAAATTTAGGAGCTATATACAGAAATCTACAAATGAAAAAAGACAAACACTAATTGAAAAGAAAAATTACCGTAATCCATGAGAACACAAATGTTATCTGTTAAATTACGCCAAACTACATCTCGATTCATAAATCCATCTTCAGTGACTCCTATAACTATTCCTATGAAAAAGTATACAGACAAGAATCATAAATAAATCTGGATACATAGTACAATATTGTATGCTTCTAATTTCTACAAGTGATATAGAAATTTCAGAGGTGTAACAGAGATTTGGATTCTTGTGGATGAAGAAAAACAACACATTTCTTTTATATTTGATTTTACAGGATAGGTGGAAACAACACTGCAAAAGGAGCAACATTTACTACAGTCATAGCCCATCTCTAGATCAGCGGTTCTCAACCTATGGGTCACGACCCCATTTGGGGTCGATCAACCATTTCACGGGGGTCGCCAAGCAAGGCTGTCCGCCATTTTTTTCCCCTTTTCCGGCGGGTGCCTTACCTCCCTTGAGCTGGGCCAGCTGGTGGTCGGCCTGCTCCGTCTCTGCCGCTTGCCAGCTACGCCTCGGCCGGCGCAGGGGGCGAAACCACGCATGCGCGGCGCTCCCGGGCAGGGAAAGTCCTTGACTTACGACCGGTTGGGTAGTCCTCAACTTATGACCGGTTTAGTCCTCGACTTACGACCGGTTTAGTCCTCGACTTACGACCGGTTTAGTCCTCGACTTGGGGGTCGCGGCATTAAAAAGGTTGAGAACCACTGCTCTAGATGGAAGCCCTTTGGCATCTTCAGAAGCTTGCAGAACATAATAGCTCAACTGAATTTCTTGTTCTAACTGAAAACTTAACAAAACACGGTAGGTAGAAGTGAGTAGCTAAACAGACTACTGTGGAGTTTTATGTATGTGCGTGATTCTGAATTCAATTCAGCTAAGCCAGAAAAAAAAGATTAACTCAAAGCCCACGTGGAAGTGTCCTCATTCAACAAATTTCCCAACAGAAGAAAGATTTCTATGGAGATTCTCTGTCATCCAAGTCATAGTTGTCCCAAAGGTGCTATCCCCCCCCAAAGGTAACTGGATTATGTTTTTTCCTTGAGGAAAAAGAAGACATTTCACTTCTCAACCAAGAAGCTTCATCAATTTTGGCTAGATCAGGGGTAGTCAACCTTGGCTCTTTTATGACTCGTGGACTTCAACTCCCAGAATTCTGGGAGTTGAAGTCCACGAGTCATAAAAGAGCCAAGGTTGACTACCCCTGGGCTAGATGGTGGAGGCGGGGAGGAATGGAAGGATTAATTCTGATTAGTCATCAGAACTTATCCTTCCCTTCCCCCCCCCCACCCATCCAGCCAGAACTGATGAAGCTTCTTGGATGAAAAGCGAAATGCCTTCTTCTTCCTCTTCCTCCACCTTTGGGGGGGAAAAGCACCTTTGAGACAATCAGCAGAAGAAAGTTATGCAATTTTCTTTTAGAACTAGTCACAAGATTTACCATTTTAGCATTCTTTGAAATTACTGTTATTACCAATCACTTCTTGGAGATCATAGCTAACTAGAAAAATAGGAAGGCAAGTGATAATCAACTCAGAAGCCTGCTGCACTGGGGTCTTCTCTCCTCCCCTCAGAGGACTGTTACTTCCAGAAAATGGATGTTCTTGTAGAGAGAGAAAAAAACACATGCAACTACCAACACAGAATCCTGCCCAGTAGGATTTTTTCCTCACTCAGCTTAAGTTAGAAACATGAAAAATATGGGGATGAAATACCAATAAGAAGAATAATCTGGAAGATGCCAAATTTCTTACACTTTTGCTTGTCTCTGGGTGTGTGTGTGCTTGAAATAAATTTACTTAATTCTTGTATTTATATTTCTGGAAGTAAAATAGCTTCCAGTCTTAAGCAAAACATAATTGTGCAATCCTTACAGGTTTAAAAGACAAAGTCTATTATGAGTTGAGCTCAACTCCCGATGAATTTATTTATTTATTCAAAAATTAAACCCACTGAGCTCACTGTGATTTATTCCTAAATAATAATAATAATAATAATAATAATAATAATAATAATAATAATAATAATAATAATAATAATAATAGTAATAATAAAGTTGGAAGGGATCTTGGAGGTCATCTAGTCCAACCCCCTGCTTAGGCAGGAGACCCTATACCATTTCAGACAAATGGCCGTCCAGTCAATTCTTAAAAACTTCCAGTGTTGGAGCATTCACCGCTTCTGGAGGCAGGTTGTTCCACTGGTTAATTGTTCTAACTGTCAGGAAGTTTCTCCTTAGTTCTAGATTGTACAGATAGTCCTTGACTTACAACAGTTCATTTAGTGACCATTCAAAGTTAAAATGGAACTGAAAAAAGTGACTTATGACCTTTTTTCACACTTACGACCATTGCAATATCTCCATGGTCACATGATCAAAATTCAGATGCTTGGCAACTGACTCATATCTAAGATGGTTGCAGGGTCCTGGGGGTCATTTGATCACCTTCTTGCAACCTTCTGACAAGCAAAGTCAATGGGGGAAGCCAGATTCACTTTACTAAACAACTGCAGTGATTCAATTAACAACTGTGGCAAGAAAAGTTGTAAAATGGGGCAAAGTTCACTTAACAAATGTCTCGCTTTTGGGCTCACTTGTGGTCATAAGTCGTGAGCTACCTATATGAATAGGAACATGTAGTGGCATTTGGTTCGGAGTACACATAGATCAGATTACCTTGTTTGATAGCAAATTTATTATCATTGGTGGTTACAGCTATGCAACACTCATCAAATAGTATGCAGTCACAAGATGCTGCACTTACCTGTATCTTTCTTTCTATAAATTACACCAACTATTGCTACATCACTTGCACAAGGACTCTTTGTTATTGCCAAATCTTTTATCTCAGACATTGTTTTATTAATATTTACGTAAGTACCAAGTTTATGAAGCCACTGAAGAATTGGCTCTGTAAAATATAAGACAGTGAGGTTAATATGTAAGAAATGTGTATTCTGCACAGTTTTGTAACTTTACTATAAAATACGGAAATACAGATTTTCATTACTAAAATGAATGAAAATATATTTTCAGCCCCATTATTATGAGCCCAATCCTAAATACTATGCATCTAATATCTAAATTCCAATACTTCCTGGAGAACAATGCCATTAAAAAGAAAACATAGCAAGACTATCTATCCTTATTTGATTCGGATTTATTTGCCCTAAATACCAGGAATAAAAGTCACTTGAAAATCTATCTCAGCTGCCAGCAAACAAATCTCTCCTCATGAGCATAGTGTTTTAGCCATTCAGATGACCACCATTTAATATTTGAACACCTTCAGAAAGCTTTGAAGTGAATGTAGCTACTACAAGTAATTTCACCTGAATGGAGCTATAACTTACCTCGCTTTATATCCAATAATGTTCCTTCAGTAGTGAACATACCTAACCCATGATGCATATTGAATTTTACAAACCATTCCTCTACTGGAGCAATATCTAGTCAAACAGGAAATAGAAAATGAGGATAATTCCTATGAACATCCAAGTGTAATATTAACATTTTTCTTTAATATACAATGCACCCAGGCATATTCAGTGGACTTTTCAGTAATGAGTTTCCATATTTGGGGGTTCATGTCATTTTCTTATTTTATATTAGCATTTTACATTTATATTTATCATTTTATATTGTTTATGGTTAATATGACTTAAAAAAATAAAATAAATGGAAAGATAAGAGATAAGATAAGATAACCTTTATTGTCACTTTTACTGTGGGCACAACGGCACATATCAAAAATGAAATTTAGTTGCCCGCTCTCAAAGTGAAACACATACATGACACACACCTAAACATACTATATACAACATAAGGATCATACTACTGGAATATTGGTGCAAATTAAGGAAGCAGCAATAATCCCATTAGCAGAAACAGGCTATTATAACAATCTCTCACCTGTATTGTATGTAATCTTTTCTCTAGGGATATCAATAAACCATGAATCCACTTCTTCGTCTCCTTTTCCCTTTAGAAATTATGTCAGAAAAAAACTTTCAAACTTAAAGTTTAAACAGCCATAGTCATGTATATGTTCTTAATTATGCATCATAATTTTAATATATATTTAGCATTGTATGGTATGGTAGGTTTAGATTCAGTTCTCTTCTCAGCCAAATTTACTAGCTTAGCCTGTGTGAGCCAATCTTTTAACCAAATTTATTGCTTGATGCTTAGGTGGGGATAAACTACTTTTGAATAAGTTACGAGCTCCTTGGGAAAAATGAAAAACATAAATAATGGAAATTTCTTATTTTTATTGGGACATCTTGCAAGAAGTACACAAGGTCAAGCTTGATTAGTATTTGGATGGACGACTACAAAAAAACCCCAAGGTTATAGACTAGACGTAAACTAGGTGTAGATACAGTATATATACTGAAAGAAAACAGTGACAAACCAACTTTGGCCAAGAAAATAAATGAGTATGTATTACAAATATCAAACTAAAATAACATTCTGCCATTTCAGAAATGAACATTTTAACCTTATAGGGGAGATGGGCAGCATAAAAATGTAATAAATAAATAAAACACACATTTTAATTCAAATTAATGCAAATTATTTTTGCCCAAATCAGCAGTCTTTTCTCCGCAAGAGCTGGTTATGGCAGCCCATAAATGGACTAAAGGTCATCTCTTGCTGTAATTCACAGTAACTGATGACTGAGATCTGATCCTGGAAATAGTATAAATCATTATGAATGCAGCATGTACACAGGCATAGGCACAGACACATATATATATATCGTATATGTATTTGCCTGAAATTTTATATTATCAGGTACAGTGGTCATAATATGCCTTCTCTGTTCAACTACAATACACTCCACTTTCAGTCTGAGCAATGTTATGAATCTCAACTTTTTTGTTTACGAAGACCATTATTTTTTATTCAGATCTTCTAAGCACTGTGAAATCTGGTAGTCCAATTCTTGCAGGAATCATGGCGCACATGATCCTCTTAAAGGAAACCAAAATTAAATTTAAAAAGTAAGATAACTTGTTTAAAATAAATGGTGGAAATTCCATGAGATTGCCAAATTCTATACAATGTTAGTGGTATAAAAAAGTTCCAAGTCTTGTAAAATTACTATTTTTGCATGACAACTGCAAATTCAGACATTCTTTTTTTAAAAAAAACCACTGTTGTCATTTTGGAAATGTTCTACATTTTTGTAACACCTGTTGTAACATGTAAAATCAGACAATAATGCCCATCATCTGAAAAAAATGCTGATTTCTGCTACAAAATAATAGAAAGATGAGATGCTGCTGTGCGCCAGATCTGACTATTTTAACATTTATCTATTCTTGCCTCATACTACTGTCAGTCTCTCTCTCTCTCTCTTTCCACATCTTTCAGTCATTTGCCACTTGAATCTAACTGGTGATATCAGGAAAGGAATCTAAGTTTTTCACTTTGCAAATCCTGTTCTCTCCCACTGAACAATTTACCCTCCCCAAATGCTTTACCAGAGTCATTTCGAAGAAGAAGACGTTTGAGTAGGTACTATTGAAGATCTGTATGCTGGGAGCAAGACCTGATGAAGTATAGAGCAGTAGATTTTTTCTTCTGTTCTCCTTGGTATCCTCTTCATTAATATTATACAAATGGCAGGTGACTTTCTTTGAGATGAGATGCACAAAAAAAGAAAAAAGTATACACAAAGCCATATTGTCCAACTATAGCACCGAGCATCTTTAAAATGTTAAATAATATGCCAATACATTGACAGTGAAACCAATTACCTAGTGAGGTGGTGGATTTTCTGTCATTGGATTTTTCAAGCAGATAATAGACAGCCAGCAGTCAGAGCACTTTAATGTGAATTCCTATACTATTCCTATATATATGTGTGTATGTGTATGTGTGTGTGTGTGTAATTAGGTTGCAAACATTTCATCTCCATTCGAGGGGATATCTTTAGTACAGTTTGAATTGTGTTCAGTTTGTTTGGAATGTTGCTTCCGGTATTTCAGTTGAAGCAGCCCTCTCTCTCTCTCAGTGGTTGGTAGGCGGAGTCGATGTCAATGTGTCTGTTTACTGATTGGTTGGTGGAGAACCAGGCCTTGAGGAATTCTCTTTCTCTCCTTGACTTTGCTTGGTTATAATTGTGGTCCTGGTTAGACTGAATTTGTGTCCTTCTGAGTCCTCGTGGATGGACATGAGGGACAATGAAGATGTCTCCCCGAATGGAGACGAAATGTTTGCAACCTAATTATCAAGCCCAGAGATCAAACCAACAGCCCAGCTACCAACCAGAGCTATTAATATTCAAACACACACACACACACACACACACACACATATGAGAGCAGAACGAGCTCGAAATGGCCATCTTAGTCTCCCAACTTAATTCTTTAACTCTTTGTCAGAAAAAGAAATTTGGATATATATGTATGTATGTATGTATATATGTATGTATGTATGTATGTATGTATATATATATATATTTAAAATTTTGGATTGCTAACAAAGAATTAAGGGAGAACTGGAATAGCTATTTCGAACTTTTTAGTTCTTATCAACCAGACATACCCTTCTGAGATCCGAACCTGGGCTGTCTGCATGTTAAGCAGCTGTGATAACCTCTAGGCCACAGGCTCTTTCTCACTTTGTCAGCTGTGTCAGGGAGGGAAGAGACAGGGGAGGAGAATTACCTTGAGTGCTTTTTGATGCACCCTGTTGACCCAAATATGGGAGAAAGAAATATTTTGCCTGTATCAGCTCAAACTAGAGCCATCCACAGGCAGCAGTTGCAACTGCGACATCATATATATATATTTAAAATTTGGATTGCTAACAAAGAATTAAGGGAGAACTGGAATAGCTATTTCGAACTTTTTAGTTCTTATCAACCAGACATACCCTTCTGAGATTCGAACCTGGGCTGTCTGCATGTTAAGCAGCTGTGATAACCTCTAGGCCACAGGCTCTTTCTCATTTTGTTGCCTGACATAAAATACATAACCACCAGGAAAATTATAAAACTATAAAAAGTTTTAATGGAATAAAATATACCTAGCTTTCGCTGGTCACTGCCAGCATCGTCAGGGTAACACCGCAAAGGCATGCAGCACAAGTCTGAGCCGGTTGAAACAAGGAGTTGCCGTAACTTACGATCGCACAAGGAGGAGGGGAGGAAAGGCAATGATGTAAATGGGAATAAGGAAAGTAGAGAAACAACGATTAGCAATGCAGATACTATGATTAGAGCGCAGGTGGATTGGCTGGGGCCCATGACGAGGACTAGGAGCCGGGTGCAACGAGTGCAATGCTTATAAATAGCCTCACCATCTTCTGGAGGTTACCCTGACGATGCTGGCAGTGACCAGCGAAAGCTAGGTATATTTTATTACATTAAAACTTTTTATAGTTTTATAATTTTCCTGGTGGTCGTGTATATATTTGTTTTCGTAGATTTTCACGGGTACAGGTATGCAGATCTTGGCGTATTCGGGTATTTTATCCTACAATAGGCAAATTAAGACTGTATAAGTCTTTTCCCTATTCTTGCTGGTTACTTCTCTTGAGTTGAGCAAATATAAAAAGGTGGTATACTACTACTACTACTACTACTAATAATAATAATAATAATAATAATAATAATAATAATAGACAGCAGAAGAGAAGAGAAACAATTGAAAAAACTACAAAATACAAAGACTTACAAATAGAATAGTTGTGACAAAAGAAAGCGAAGATAATAACATTAGCCAATAATAATAGATGCCTTGGAGCATCATTTGAACACCACCAGCATTTACAAAATCACTGTCAGTCAATTGCAAAATGTAATTTTACTTGGAATAGCTTATATCCTGTGATGATGCCTCACCATCAAACAACAACATTTTCCTATCTCAGGTCCTTGGGAAGGACTCAATAAATGGATAAAAATGCTAAGTCCACTCTAAATATCATCATCATCGTCATCATAGACTTCACCAATCACAATGAGTAAAGTTGCTGATGTCAGCAGTTCAGTTTTCAGAAAGTGGAATCTTAGCTGCTCTAAATCCTTGTCTTATCAATGGGGAACCATACAAAGAAGTGGTTCTTCCCAGGCCTATTGCCATTAGTACATATTTTTCAGATTAGCTGTCAATCCTGAATGAAAACTTACTGCTGCAAGAGCTGCAGATGTTTTTTCTGAATGTTTTTCTTAAGCGTCAATACATGAGGAATCACAGTGCACATGTCCACAACTCTGTCCCCTGCATCCTGTTTTTAAGATCCTTGTTTTCCCTTGTTGCTCTGGGCAGGAAGTGAATGCTGCCCTTCAAAAACAGGTGTGAAATGGCAGAATAAAACCTCCTCAGTACCAAGAAAATGGTACATGTGGAAAGACTGGACAATATGATTACTACTTTTTATTTTATTTTATTTTTAAAAAATTTAATTCCACCTTTATTATTATTTATAATAATAATATTCCCTCCTCCTATTTTCCTCACAACAACAACCCTGTAAGGTGATTTGGGATGAAAGGGAATGACAGATCCAAGATCGGCAGGCGGCTTTCATGCTTAAGGTGGGAACTAGAACTGATAGTTTCTTGGTTTAGTGCCATTTCTTTTATTTACATTTTATTGTATCCTTTCTATACTTCCATAGATATAGAAAATTTCCCTAAGCAAGTAAAAACTATTTTTTATTTTCGGACATGTTTTTTATCCAAAGTACTTGTATAAATTCAAGCTGAATTTTATAGAAATAACAAATTTTCATTCTTACAAAGAAAAAACCCTTGATTTAATGGACTCATGGGAGAGAAGGGGTGGATCTGTTACAACCAAATGTAAAATAGTGGCCTGTAGATTCGTGTTATGTTTAAGTAAAATAGCATTTTGCCTGTTGTTTATGAACTCTGTGAAACAGAGATTTGGTAAACCTCTTTACTGGATAGTGAGGGTTTTGTTGTTTTTTTTAAAAAATGTCATTGTTAATTGCCATAATTTAAGTTTCTGTACAGTACATGAAACTGAATGGGAAACTTACTAAGCTCTTTTGTGGAAGATACAGTTTAACTGCTTTAGTCTTTGCAGTATCCTCCGTGAAAGTATCTGTGTAACAGGCAAAACTTGAAGTGGACACCTCTGAGAGAAAATACAAAGATTACTATAATACCATCTCTAAACATGTCTATTTATACCAAGGACGTACAAACTTTATGGGGTAAAGGCTGCACCTGGTCTTTGCTCATGTATGTCTATGACTAGAAGGGTAGCAGGATAAAAACCAAATTTCAATTTAACTAAAATGAAATTAAATGTAATTAATATAACTCAGTGACTATAGTATTTTTCCTCTTGTGTCAGGAGGAAATTACAAATTACAAGAATTACAAATTCTAATATGATTTTTTCATACATTCTAGGAACAATGCTCAAGACTTGGGCAAACAGTATGCAGCCAGCGATGTTTAATGTAAATGAAAAGTTGAAGCAGAAACAGATAAAAAGTTTAGAGAAATGGATGGGAGATGAAGAAATGGAAGAAGAAAGAAAGAAAAAAGAAAGAAAGAAAGAAAGAAAGAAAGAAAGAAAGAAAGAAAGAAAGAAAGAAAGAAAGAAAGAAAAATTATCAGTGTTGTCTACTGTTAATATTATCTCTTGGCTTGTAGTAAAAGTTAAGTTATATAAATTGCCACCTTGCTCCCTCTTTTGGGCCAAATCAAATGCTTAATTGCTTACAGAAGTTTTATATACCACAGAATTGCAAACAGAGAGGTTATTCTTTTAATTTAAATAATTAAATTTAATTTAAAGTACAACTACTGCCTTAATGAATAATAACAAATTTTGCACTAGATCAGAATTGGTTTGTTGACATTCTTCTCTAATGAAACAAGAATGCAAGAATGATTATTCTGGTGTATATATGAGACTGTGGTCAATTAATATTAATTTGTTTCAATTCTGACAGCAACAGATTCCACATAATGCATTCAAAGAAGAGATCGATTACCATCATAACATCTAATGCTGTATGTCTTATTTTGAAATTTTCAATAGCTATATCTGCAAGATAGTCAAATGTTTTCCAGGATGTATACAGTAGGACTGCCAGATCTGGGCTGTAGAAACCTGGAGAACCACTAGATGGCAGCCATGAGTTCTTTGCCAGGATCATTTGAATTTTTGCATCCTGGATTTGCTAGACCTGTCCTAGGATATAATATGATTCTTTAGAAGTCTACTCAGGAAGTTGAGGATGCCCTTGTGGTGAACGATGCATACCATATCGATTAGTATTTGTGCTGCAAATGGATTTATTCTAATTCCTGGAATCACACATGTACATAGATAATTCTTATTGTAACATAAACATTCAGGTAATGGTTCTCTTATAGCTAAAATTCACTGTGGTTTAGAGGATGAATGATGGTAGAGTGAGATTATTTAAAGAAGGATAGCCTGAGGTCATAATGTTGGAAAGAATGGAGTTAAGTAGAAAACAGAACAGAGTAAAAGGCTCTGGACTGGAAAGCAATCTGAAATCAAGCAAAACAAAACAAAAACATTCAAGAACAATTAGACAAAGCAATGAGAGAACAAAATCTTATAATGAAACAAGGACATTACAACAACTGAAACAGAATCCATCATGAAACATAACAAGCATGATTTCAGCTGTCATTTAAAGCAAAATTTCCTTATGGTGTCAGGAACATGACTGGTGGTCATTGCAGCTGTCCAGAACTGCATTGTATGCACAAAAAAAGCACAAAAAAGCCAGTATAAACCTTCCTATGGCATAAACAGGCAAAGAAAGAGATAAACGAGCAAACTCCTCAGCCTGAGTGTCCATCTTCCCCTTTTGAACATCCTAACAATCAGGAATGAATGCATTTGAAACCACAACTTGCCTTTTTTATTGTAGGCAATGCCTGAAGAAAGTTTCAAAACAGCTCCAAGCAAAATATAAAGCCACAGCAGCTCCATCTGTGAAATAAGGAAGGAAAAGAAAATGTGAATATAAAACTATACTTAAAGCTATTTCTCTTCCAGGCATGGTCAAATAAAGTCAAGATAGGAGCCCCAACTGTGAGACCCCAGCTGCATCTGTTTTTATGTGCGTTGCTTGGGCAGATGGCACTTCATTATGCTGCTGTGTATGTCATATTGATCTTTTCAACCCTACAGATACTGTTTACTGTCCTGCATCCCACTCTCGCGATATCCCCTACTTAGTGACTGGTTGATACTTGTTTAGCCTAGGTTGCTAGGCTATGCCTAGCAAGGGATAAATAGTTTCCTTTAAAAAAGAATAAAAATAAAATAAAAATAAAACCCAGTTGATCACTGAATCCAGTAAAATCTCCTGACTACTCTGTTTTCCCCACCAGTTCTTCTAGCCCTCCTCCACGTTAACTTTATATCACTTGCAAACACTGTTTTTGATTTCTGCTTAGGCTGGTAGAAGCACATTCTCCTTTCCTTCTGACCCAATGTCCTTTGTATTACAATAGTTCCCCTCCCCACTTTTAAAATCTTTAAACTACAATTTAGGCATGTTGGAATGAAGTCACAATATTTCAATGAATACTATTTCTTTGCTTCTATGAACTATCAGCTTTTCATTGCCACAAAATTGTCATGGACCTAACAAAGGAACAATGTGTTCTTTTCACTTTAATTTTTCTAGCAATAAGGCAACAATAGTACAATATAAGAGAAAAGAAAGATAGAAGAAAAGAGAGGAAAGAAAGAAAAAGAAAGAAAAAAGAGAAAAGAAAGAAAAGAAAGAAGAAAGAAAAAGAAAGAAAGAAAGAAGAAAGAAAGAAAGGAAGGAAGGAAGGAAGGAAGGAAGGAAGGAAGGAAGAAAGAAAGAAAGAAAGAAAGAAAGAAAGAAAGAAAGAAAGAAAGAAAGAAAGAAAGAAAGAAAGAAGAGAAAGGATCTGCTAGTGTCAAACAAGAAAGTGTCAGAGTGGGTTCCAAGGTGTATAAATATTTGGAAAAACAATGGAGACTAATGAGAAGGGATCAATCCATAAAAGAAAAAGACAGACACTGGTAGACCTGTCCACACCAAGTCCAGTCAGCAAGACTTGTGTTCTGTGTATGGTAGGGAAGGGTAGGATGCAAGGGAATGACTAGTTACGGCCTTCAATAGCCATACTCTGGAGGGAGTACCAATCAAACCCAAAAGCTAAACTATTGTAACCTGGACTTTGTAAAGTTTGTTTTAGAAACTATTGGGAGCATCATGGGAAACAAGAAGGTTAGGGTGCCATTTAGAATTGCCCAAAGCATGGCTCAAAGCCACTCTTTCTTGGCCAAAGATTATTGTTATTGTTGTTGTACGCCATCCAGAGTCACTTGTTATGAAATGGGTAGTTATATAAATTAGGTAAATAAATGAATGAATAAATAAGGTCTAAAAATTAGATATTCCTGGTTATAGTGGAGGTCCCCAAGCCTTGGTCTGCAGCCTGGAAACGGACTGCAGCCTGTTGGGAACCAGAGCACACAAGCGGCGGGTGAGCGCATGAGGGCGCAAAGCTCCATTTGAGCAAACAGCAGGCACACACACAAAACCATCCCCTGCCACTGCCACTGCTACTGGTCCACAGAGCTGGAAAGCTTGGGAACCACTGGGTTATAGCATTGCACCTTGCCTACCACACCCCACTGACTTTCAATTTTTTCCTACTACTAGTCAATGTCTGTAAATCTCCCATAAGGAAAAGCATAGTACTGGACTTATAGAACCAGGTTTTGGAAAAAACAAAATCCCACTTGCTACTTACTGCAAAGCAGTAATGACCTAACAAAGCGGACTTCCCCCCAACAACACATTTTGAAGTATTTTTTCAAGGATCCGGTCATTGTTTTAGAAACAGATGAGAGGGGGAGAAGTAGCTGTGGCCGTGGAACAGCATCCCCTAATGGCTCTTTCCTAGGGTTGGGTGTGAGGATTTGCTCCCTGATGGTATTCTGTGCCTAAAATTCTCTCTTTTAGTCCTTTTTTGCTTTTTTCAATCATTTCCCCCAAAGGAGCAGTATGTATTTTTGTTCTTAGTGTGCTATCGATGTTGCTTTACTTGCTGTCTAAGCCTTAACCTTAATATGTGAGCTGCCTAGAATTACTGAGGTGAGGGTGTCATATAAATAAGTAATCATCACTTCCTGTGCTAAACACATTGATAAATAAGGAATGAAATATATAAATCTTACCTAACTTTACCACGGCTAACTTTACCAACAGGAGAGATTAAATGAGATGCAGCTTTGTTAATAGAAAGATTGTCTAAGTAGTTCTTTCCTCTACTTTGTAATTGTATACCTTATGAAAGACAGAAGTGTTTTAGCAACTGGCTGACGATATTAATGATGGGGATTGTTGTCAAATATATGTGAGAAACATAGGACTAGGGCAAATAGTCACCTTCCTCTCCTTCCTGAGGTCTTCTCCCTTGCGCTTTTGCCTAGTTCTACCTGCCTCCCATGTAGGGCTTTGAAAGAGCCAGTCAACTGATTCTTACATTTGAATCTTCAGAAAGGCAGTTAGAAGGATTCAGATTCTCTTCCAACCAACATGTTACACAAGCAGATCAAACTACAGGTTTGTCCTTGACTTACAACCATTCGCTTAAAGTTACAACAGCACAAAAGTGACTTATGACCATTTTTCACATTCCTGACCATTGTAGCGTCCCTGTGGTCACATGATCAAAATTTGGATGCTTGGCAACTGTCATGTATTTATGGCGGTTGCAGTGTCCCTGGGTCATGTGATTACCTTTTCCAACCTTTTGACCAGCAAAGTCAATTGGCAAGTTAGGGAAGTTAGCGTTACTAACTTAGCAACCACAACGATTCACTTAACAACTGTGGCAAGAAAGGTCATAAAATGGGACAAAACTCACTTAACAACTGTCCTGCTTAGCAATAGAAATTTTGGGCTCAATTGTTGTCATACGTTATACAGTGATGTACATCCAGACAGTTGTTTTTCAGAATTATTTTAATTGGAAGCCGAAGATTGCCAGAGACAGTCCCATTGCAGAATATAATTCCTAAATATAAATTGGCAAACCTAATTTGGAAAAGCTATTTGTTTATAGGGCAGTAAAGTAAATAAACTCTATTTATAGTGCAGGTCAATTCCTGGCAATTTATTTTGGCAACAATATGGAAATAAACCTCATGGAACTCTTAGAGAAAAAGAGGGATATAAATTAAAAGAAATGAAAGGACATAAATAATTATCTAAATCTAACGTTTAGGCTTACAGAAGATGATTATGCAACGCTTGACTGCAGAATAGTAGTGTCAGCTATATTGAACTAATAGAATGCCCCCATTCGATTTTTGTCCTAACCCCGCCCACTTTGCTTTGGCCTCCCACCACAGACTCAAAGACTGGGTGAGAACTGGAGCCCAGAAAGTCACCTTTCTCTGACTCTTCAGTGATCCTTTGCCAGAGAGTTTTCTCTGTATGCTCTGACATGCATACTCTTCCTGGCTTTGAAGCCCCCTTCCTAATATCTCTGACACCTTCCTGGATGGATCCCTTAAGTACCAGTTGCAGGTATTAAAAATGTTGCCCATACTTTAGATAGTTGATGCCATAAGGACTCTTATTTTCAGAGTTTAATTTACAAAAAAAAAAAAAAGGAAAGGAAAATAATTTGTCACCAGGCTTTTCAGTGTAGCTTAACTGCAGTGAACTGGACAAGTAGAAAAACATTTTTTTTCAAATGCCTGGAATGAAATCGGTAAGTTGGCAGAGAGCCAAGTGACAAAATGCTAGGTGCTCTGGGCCTGATGCGTTTGGTTCCAAGCCAGGAAATTATGTGTGAATCTAGTCTGTGTAAAAAAAAAAGCATGCAGATAAAGGTGATGCAATTAATCCTTGGCCCTGTTCCCTGTTTATAGCAAGCGGGACCATAAGGGAGAGGAGAAATGTGTTATGCAATTGTTTTAACTTGCCCAACTGACTTTGTAAAGTGATCGGTGTGTGTGTGTGTGTGTGTGTGTGTGTGTGTGTGTGCCCGGTGAAGTTGCTCTAGTTCCAAACAGACAAAAGTTTGTTTGAACTAAAACAATGGAAAATGAGTGTGATTGCTTGTGGCTAAAGTGACTCCACCCAGTTAGTCATGTACTAATTCTTCATTATTGATGTTGAGACTTTAGAAAGAGTACAGAGAAGAGCAACAAAGATGATTAGGGGACTGGAGGCTAAAGCATATAAGGAAAGGCTGCTGGAATTGGGTATGTCTAGTTTAATGAAGAGAAGGACGAGGGGGGACATGATAGCAGTGTTCCAATATGTCAGGGGCTGCCATAAAGAAGAGGGAATCAAGCTATTTTCCAAAGTGCCTGGAGGCAGGACAAGAAGCAACGGGTGGAAACTAATCAAGGAGAGAAGCAATCTAGAACTAAGGAGAAACTTTCTGACAGTGAGAACAATTAACCAGTGGAACAACCTGCCTCCAGAAGCGGTGAATGCTCCAACACTGGAAGTTTTTAAGAAGAGACTGGACAGCCATTCGTCCGAAATGGTATAGGATTTCCTGCCTGAGCAGGGGGTTGGATTAGATGACCTTCAAGGTCCCTTCCAACTTTACTATTATTATTATTATTATTATTATTATTATTATTATTATTATTATTATTATTATTATTATTATTATTATCGCCTCATTTTGTCATTCAGTGAAGAACGATAAAAGGATCTCACTTAACTAGAGAAATGGACATCAAACCAGCAAATATAGCTCAGTGTGAACATTTAAAAAACATTTCCTGAGTTCCTATGTAATCAACTCCAACTAAAAGCCAAGTTTATATTTGTTTATAAGTTCACTTTTCAATTAGCTAGGTCTCCACCAGCATAGAAACATATATTCATTTTTATGCTATGTCCAAAAAACTGGGTTTGGTCTTGTTATTTAAGGGCTATTTTAGCCAGAACACAACTAAAACATCAACATTTC